TATTGTCAATTAAATCGATAATCAACTTAATCAATATCATAAAAGGAGGACCCCCTACGTCTTAGCACTGTGCAATATAAAGACAGGAAGACACTCTATTTGCCTTCAAAGACTGCAGTTAGGGATAAGTTAGGTGCACACCAGAAGCAGGAGAAGGAGTACTTTTAGTAGTTATTGAAACATTTACATTGCACTTTATGACAGGCAGTGTTCTGAGTGTTCTCCATATATTAACTCATTTAATCCTCCCAGGACTTCCATAAGATAGGTACTACTATTATCTCTATTTTGCAGATGAGAAAACTGAAGCTCAGAAAGGTTACGTGACTTCCCCCAGGTCACTGAATTAGTGTCAGAGCTGTGATTTGAACCTATGTATCCTGGTTCCCAATTCTGAGCACTTCACTCAGTGTATATACTATCTCTTAATAAATAATCAATTCCCTGGCACAATGAATAAATGAACATTGTAAGTAAATCCTACAGTGATGCAATGCAGAAGGGGAGAGATGCAAGAAGATTTCATGAGAGTGACAGATGAGCTCGGAGGACAGAACCACACAGGAGGGCACCATCCAATTAAAATATAACATGAGCTGGGCAGGGTACAGCTCAGTGGTAGAGCACATGCTTAGCATGCATGAGGTCCTGGGTTTGATCCCCAGAACCTTCCTCAAATTAAATAAATAAATAAACCTAATCACCTCACCCCCCCCAAATATATATAAAACATGAGCAATACATGTACTTTTAAGTATTTTAGTAGTCACATTTAAAAAGAAATAGGTGAAATTAACACTATTTAATTTAACCCAATACACACAAAATATTATCATTTCAACATGCCATCAGTATGAAAAATTAATGAGCTATGTCGCATTCTTTTTTTCCTACCAAGTCTTTGAAAGCCGGTGTATGTTTCACACTCACAGCTTATCTCAGTTTGGATTTGCTCCTTTCCACGTGCTCAGCAGACAGATGAGGCTCTTGTATTGAACAACACAGACACAAGGAGAAGGGAAGACCTTCAACACAATGAAAAGCAAGAGCAAAGGCATTCAGGCAGAAAAGAAACAACAAACACCACCACAGGATATAGTATGCACGAAAGGGTGTGTCGAAAGTTCCAGTTAAAAACGTGTGATCAGCACGCTGACGTTTGGCAGAAAGGAGCTACCAGAGGCTTCTGTGAGGAGCATCAACATGGTGGCTCTGGCAATACTTTAGAAACGACTTGGATGAGAGAGAGATGCCAGAGCATGAGACAGTGACAGGCTTGGCTAGGATGGGGAAAGTGGAGATGGAAAGGGGGGAGGGGTGTGAGAGGCGGTATGAGGTATGATCCTCTGTGACTGATCAGACTGGTCAGAATGGAAGCAGGTGAAGGAGGAAGGCAGCGGAGACAGTGAAGACCGGGAGCCAGTGTGACTCTAGGGTGTTAAATCTGGAAGCGACTGGAAGGAAAGTGAGACCACTAATCCAGAACACCCTACCAGAGTATCCAGCATCACTAAAGAAGTGCTCCTTGTGTAACTGATGAGCTCCAAGTGCAGTGAGGGCAGGGCCCAGGTTACATCTAGGTTTCATCTCCCCCGTCCACAGCGTGGAACTGAAAACACGGGGAGGAAATCTACAGCACCACGACTATAGTATCTGCAAGCTGCTAAGAGAGTAGATTTTTTTAAACATATATGACTCAAAATAATTATGCTAAGAGAAAGAAGACAAATAAAAACAGTGCATACAGTATGATTTCACTTACAGAAAATTATAGAAAATGTAAATTAATCTACGTTGACAGAAAGAAGATTAGTGGTTGCCCGGGTAGGGTAGTTCTTGGGGGAGAAGAGCAGACTGGATTACAAAAGGGGATGAGGAACCTTTGGGAGGGAATGGATATGTTAATGACAGTAGATCTTTTTGAAAACTCCTCATCATACACACGCACAAAATCTGTAAATATGTATGGGGAACGGATACTAACTAGACTTATTGTGGTGATCATTTCACAATATATACAAATATTGAACCATTACATTGTACACCTGAAACTTTTATAATGTTGTACACCAACAGAACAAAAAGTGTTTGTCAGTACAGGAGCAGGGATGGGGTAAATGGTGGTAGCAGTGGTGTACAGTGGGTAGGAAAATTGAAAGATGAAGTTAAAAGATAAACACAAGGACCACATGATAAAGAAATGCTAGAGAGGGAGGTGCAGTCTCTCAAAATGGATTAAGACTTGAGCACCTTGACTCTAAATTTCCCTGGCAGTTAAAAACATTAAGGGATTAAAATCAGAGCAAAAGAAGAAAAATAATTCCACTAGAAAGCAAAAATCCATTCTAGCATATGACTATTAATTTATTTAAAGCTAAAACTGTGTTATCACGTAATTTATTGTATTAAAATCAATTGTACTGATGAACATGAAATAATGAGGAAATGTGTCTTTGCACACTGACTATAATAATGGGATGTTTACAAGTCTGTATGCTATTCACCATAAAAATTATAACCAGGAGAGACATTAAACATTAAGTTCCTAATCATCAAATATTATACATGCTACAAAAACCTTTATCAAATCATGCAATGGACACATCATACATTATAGGTCATCATTGTATGTTGTCCATTAAAGCATTTTAAAGGAAAAAACCTGAAACACCAAGAAAAATATAGCTTTCAGAGTAACAGTGAAAAATCTAAGACTGAAAGGTAACATGATACAAAAACTCTATTTTATTAAATTGGAAATTCAGTTTAAAGGGGTTACATGATTTTAAGCCTGAGTTTTTTATTCAAACCTTCTGTTTCAATTACTTTTTACAAATTTAAATCTGGTGATGGTGTGCATATTTCCAATAAATACAACAGCGTGAGATCCCATACTAGCAGGACACCTGCTAACATCTTTTATTCATGTACGTGTTCCCAGTGCAAAGCAATTATATTATTTCAAATATTTTAAAATGTTTCCTATTACTGCCTAACATAACTGCAGGTTACCTTACAAATCACTGCTTTCCTTTAGCACTCCTTCCATCTAAATCTCTGAGAAAAGACTTATTTGTGGTGCTGTTTATAGAAGTCAATAATAGCTCACAAGTAATCTCAGACTGGTTTACTTGCATCTGATTATAGACGTGAGAATATAGCTTCCTATCAAATGCAAGAAAAAGGCATGCATATATAGATTTTGTTTCTTATCTTGATTCAGCTCTTTGGAACTGGTTCCCAATGTTATAAATTCTGGAGCAGGAAATAAATGCTAAAAGTTAGTTATTTCAGCTCTGAAAACTTTGCAATACTCAGTATTCTCCTATCAAAGGATAATCATCACATGGGCAACTGCATTCTTGTCAACTTCTCACCGGCAGGAGTGAACATGAAGGTACAGCAGGGTGTGATGCTAGAAAGAGTAAGGAGCGCAAGCAATCAGGGAGAGAGTGATGTGTGTTTATGTCATATTTTTCTACATTTGCTGAAATGACAGTCATTTAGGTCTAACTCACAATTGAAAATGGTAAATCTGAAAGGCAATGAATTTCTTTACACTAATTTTTGGTCACCCATTTTTGGGGATATATTATATTTGGGGGAGGAAAGATTAGCTTTGAAGATTAATAAAGAAATCTTATTTTTAGCATTGAAATAAGGATCCCAAAGTAGAACAGTATTTTTTTAATAAATCTGAAACTGTTCATTGACATACGCCTAAAGTGATGACAATTTTTAATGAAGCTCTCCAAACTATTTAAATCCATTATTTATATGATGTGTAAAGTATTGTTTGCAGCTGCTATCTAATTGTTAATAGTCCATTACTTACCGTATCCCTTTTTTATCTAACTTTCTCCACGACGGTGACTACTCAACAAAAAAAATATTTTTAATCTCAACTTGACTAAGAGACGTTCATCTAAAAGAGAACAGTCTCAAGCCAAGCTTTATCACAGGGGCACAGGACTTCAGGCCATTATTGTTTTATGACTAAAAAATGAATGACTTAAGACAAAAAGCTCAACATCCTTAAACTTCATTTCTATTCATTCTCTAATAAATACCATCTGTTGTGTACTTTAGGGATATAATACCCGTCAAAAACTCCATCGTATTATGAGAACCGGCACCAAGTTGATCTGAAATGCATATTTGAACAGATGTGTTTAAATTACATCTCCGTCTATCCACATGCATAAATTCAGAGCAAGCGTGTGTTGATTTAAAATGCATAAAAAAAGGGATTTGGAGATGCATCAAAAGTGAAGAGCATCTTGACGGATCAAGGCTCACATTACGAAAGGTCATTACTAAAAATAAAGTCTGCATTTATTAAGGGTTGCACCAGGGGGCTGTTCATGGGAACTGATTTAATGTTTGTTGCACAAAATCAGCCACTGAAACTACACTAATTTTTTACAACTCCTCCATGTAAAACATTAAAACCGTCACACATGGGCAGAAAAAATGGAATAGAAGACATCAAAATAGAGAAAATTATATGGCATGTCTACTGACTGACATTGGTTTACATGGCTCAGTCCCCCACGTTTTAACCATACTTCGCATTTCTCCAAGAAATGGTTTCTGTAGGCATAATACTGTTCTGATTCCATTTTTTACAGACATGCTCCCAAAAGTTAAAATTAATTAAATCCTCCAGGAATTATGAAGTTCATCAATGTTTAGCAAGAGATTAAACACACAAAAAATAAAAGAATGAAAGTTAATTAAATGTTCCCTATATTCTACAAGGTGCTCATTTCTAGGCTGGCTTTTCACCATCAGCGTGAAGCTTACCGGTGAGCTGCTGAGAACAGTGCCCATTCTCCAGGAGGGTAACTGTATAAAAAGAAAAAAGCTAACTGCTGAGTGAAATTCCTGATTATCAGCATTATCAACAAACACCTAGTTAACTCATAGCATTTTACATGATCTACATGTACAAGCAGCTCGTGTAGACTCAGCTCTCAAGGTAGAAGCTGAAGTGAGAATACACTCATTCCTGAGTATCTACTCCTAGTTGCTGCTCCCCAAATCAGTGCTGCATATACTGGACAATTAGTACTTTATTTATTCACTGATGAGGAAAGTGAGGATTCAGGGTAAAACTGATAGGGGAAAAGCTTTATAAACCGGCCACTTTCCAACTAAACCTTTAAGGTACTATGGCGTGTTTGGGCTGTTTAAGAAAAATGACCACTTCAAAAGGATTTTCAGATCTGTACAAAAAGGAGATTTTTGAGATACAAGAGGAAAGTCAGCTTTTTCAGAGTACATCTAGTCTCTTAAAGGTTTAGATTTACAGTTCTTCTAACTGATAGATTCAGAAAATTCTGTGAAGCTTGAATTAATTAACAAAGGGACGGTAATGAAAGTAAGCATGGCTAGTGAGTGTAGTAATAACCACTAGGGGAAAATATTCTTTTTAATAAACTTCTAAATATGTCCAGATTTAGAATTTGTGCTAATTATTCTGTTCCCCGCCCCAGCCAGCCATTCCTGCCCTCTCGGCCCTGTTGTATGCTGCCCCAGAAAGCTGACCCCACAGAGTTAGAACATATGGGCTCCCATTCATGTGTCATACAGTCCAGCTCCACCAGACGGCCACTCCCTTCTCTCAGGTCCCGGGCTTTCTAGCCTGTAGCCAACCCCCGCCCCCTAAACATTCTCCTTACTGCTCCTCCAAACCTGTTTGGCAGAGGTAACTCTCACTCATTATTCAGGCCTCTAATTAAAAGAGTATTTTCTCTAGGAAAACTTCCCTGCACTTAGACTATATTCAGTGCCTTTTCCAAGCTGCCAAACTCTGTATTTTCTAATGTTCCATTATAATTGCTTGTTATTTCTATGTTTTCTCCACGGGACTGTTAAGTCCCTGGAGGACAGTGACTGTGCCTGTCTTGCATGCCACTACTTTCTCAGAGTCCAGCTCAGTGCTTGGCACAAAGTAGGTCCTGACTAAACACTAATGAGTTAATGAAAGATTCATTTAGTTCCCTTTGTAAGGAGGAAAAATCAAACCGCATAAATAATTTTTATTGTGGCCTGATTGTCAACTTTTCAGTTGAAATAGGTGAAATTAAATATTTACATGATACATTTAACAAAATATTCCAAGATAAATATAAATTACATAATAATCTTTCAAAATAAGTGGCAAAGTAAGAGATTCACTGAAGAACAAACCAGTTTGAATGAGACTGCTACCTACAGCTGAACTTTTGAATAGAGTAGATGCCATCTACCTGTGGCTGTTGACAGGAAAGTGAATTAAAAGCAAATTTAAGATTCAGTTCCTCAGTTATATCAGCCATCTTTCAGGTGTTCAGTAGCCACATATGGCTACTTTTTACCATATCTGACAGCATGGATAGAGAATATTACCATCCTTGCAAAAAGTTCTATTAATAGTACGGTTCCTGAGAGTGGAGATGCTATAAATAACAACACTTAAAAAAAAAAAAAACCCAACCATATATTTGAACGTTCTTTTCTTTGTTTTACAAAATGGCAATGATATTTACCAATGATGTTACTATGAGGGTTACGTGAGCTATTTTAAGACTTAGTAACTCAGTGTCTCATGTGTAACAGGTGATCCAACAAGCTTCCTCCCTCCCTTTTCTTGGAATGCAAAGGCACTTGGCTCAAAGTACATCTTAGCACATGTTCCCCAGTCATGCTAAAAACAGGTTTCAAATTGTTCTGCCAGAAAGGCTAAGGAGAGAGGGCTTCAGTGGCACTTCAGGACTATGGGGCTCCAGGCCTCCCACCTCCTGATTTTTCAACCAAAACAACTTCAGATTTAACTGTTACAGATTGGGTTTCCCCTTGAGATTTTTTTTTTCTCTTCCCAATAAAGGACTATGAAGCCAAGCAAACAAACGAACAAAAAAATCCAAAAATCCCCAATGTCTTGGAAGATACATCTTCAGCCTTTATGAATGGCAAGGAAGTAAGTATGGCCAGCACAATCTAACTCCTGTGGGCTCATCTCCTTCCACTACCTCTTTCCTCTCCATGTTCTACCCACACTGAGTTGAGGGTATTGGGACCAACATCAACAGTCGACTGGGAAACAAAGCAAATTATTTTGAGAGGTAATTCTTGGCTTTGACGAATCAAGAGCTAGTACCAATACTGCAAAGTTATTTTTATTAGTGAAGTCCATGCAACGATTGAAGTGACTGAAAATTAGCCTCTATGAATAGTCTGCATGGAAAAACTACAGACAAGAATATTTTCAAAGACGCTGAGAAAACACTATAACCTGAAGTGGAATCTGCTATGATGTATTACAACTGATGGTAGGTAAAAGTATGTGTGAAACGCACACCAAAAAAAGGCTTAAGAAAATAAATTAACCACCTTGTGAAATGAAAGCCTATGATACTGATCAGCATATACTTTGTGGAAATATATGAATCTTTTGTTTTTTGGGGGATCAGGATTGATAACTAAAATTTTTCTCAATGAGAAGAACCAACTTCAACCACTCTCATCAAATGGTCTTGAAAATTAGCTTTTGTTATAGATTTGATACTGTTTCTTTTTTTTTGGCTGTATAGTTGATTTATTACGTTGTGTTAATTTCTGGTGTACAGCTTAGTGATTCAGTTGTGTGTGTCTATATATATGTATATATACTTCCTTTCAAATTTTTTCATTATATTCTTTTTTATTATAGACTATTACAAGTTGTTGAATATAGTTCCCAGTGCTATACAGTAGGACCTTGTTGCTAGTCTATTTTATATATAGTAGTTAGTATCTGCAACTTCCAAACTCTCAATTTATTCCTCTACTCCCTCCTTTCCCCTCTGGTAACCTAAGTTCCTTTTCTATGTCTGTGAGTCTCTTTCTGTTTTATAAATAAGTCCATTTGTGTCATTTTTTTTTAGATTTCACATGTAAGTGATATCATACAGTATTTTTCCCTTTCTGGCTTACTTCACTTAGTATGACAATCTCTAGGTCGATCCATGCTGCTGCAAATGACATTTTAATCTTTTTTTGTGCTGAGTTGTATTCCGTTGAATATGTATGTACCACATATAACTTCCTATCACCTAATACCAGTCAGGATGGCCATCATCAAAAAGTTTACAAATGATAAATGGTGGAGAAAGTGTGGCGGAAAGAGAACCCTCCTCACTGTTGGTAGAAACATAGTTTGGTGCAGCCACTATAGAAAACAAAATGGAGATTCTCTAAAAACTAAAAATTGATTTACCATATGATCCAGCAATCCCACTCCTGGGCATATATCTGGAAAGAACTATAATTCGAAAGGATACATGCACCCCAATGTTCATAGCAGCACTATATACAATAGCCAAGACACGGAAGCAACCTAAATGTCCATCGACAGGTGATTGATAACGTTTCTTAATGACTTCAACCTAATTATTACATGGCAGATTTTGCTTTATGCAAAACGTACACTGTTTAAATCACAAGTAATATTCAGGTGCTTTCCAAATTTACCATACCATCAACAGTGAAAGCTTGCTCTCCACCCCCACACACATTTGCAGCAGATTAAATTTTTTGAGCTCAAACTACACTACCAGCAGCATTTTTCAGATCTCAATACAAGTGCAAGGGAAACGCCCACACTTAGAAATCCATTTAGCTGTGTGATTGAGAGGAGCTTCCACCCAACCTTCAATTGGAGGTAACTGATCTGATAAGAGGCAAACATCAAGAAAAGGATCTAACAGAATTTCATAAAGGTCAAGTGATAAATATGTTCAGTTAAAACCATGATATACTGATATATAAATTGATACGAATATTTGGCATGATGTATGTGTGTGAAAAGACATTTTCAAAAAAGAAATACATAAAATCTTATTAGGCACCAACACTGACGAATGAATATTTAGCAATTGATTTTGATGATGGGGACCATTAATCTTTGAACCCCAATAAGTGAAAAGTTATCCAAATAAAGTAATTGTATTCTTCTTACTAGTAGGTCAGTATTTTACATATTGTACATTACTATTACATTTTAAATTTCATCAAGTAAAATTTCATGAAAATTGGTTTTCCTTATAGATGGATGGTAGACAGATAGATAGATACTCCTTGATTTTTACTTCTTGATCTTCAAAAGTGTAAAACATTATCTGACCCTTTATCAAAAAAGCTTGCTAACCCTATACTAGATGCTTCTCTAACAACCGAATAGTTTAAAATATATATAAAAGTAAAGTTTTCCTTTCAATTATGAGTTGTGCACAAAAGAAAACCTATGGCTGCTTTTTTTTCTTTTTAATAGTAAAGAAAAGCATCAGAGTACAAGAGGGTCCCAGGAGATTAGGTTAGATGTGCCCTGTCTCAGGGATTGCCTGTGCTTTAGTCTGACAAATTCTGTACAGGGAATTTCAACAGATTTTAAACAAGCCCAGTCTCCTCCAAACCTGGGTCTCAGAATCTTGCTTATAGAGAACTTAACTATTTAAGCACTATTTAATGTTAATTAAATATTATATGTTCCTGTGATATGTTCCTATGACTGCCTAAGATTGCTGGCAATAAAGAGAGAAAGATGTTGAAATAAAGTCCTTATTGAAGTTCAAGCACAAACATCAACATGCACTAACACATCAGCAGAATAAATATTTCACTATGAAAATTTCTTGATTTGCTACTTCAATCTGGGTCTATTTCATTAAAATGAACACCAGTAAAAGACATATGTCTTCATACATGCTATGCAGACAAATGCACCATACTGTAAAATTTGTAGATTAAAAGATTTTTAAAGTAATTCAGTTCAGAATTCCCAAATAACTTTCTAAAATGAAATTTTGTACTCTTGTGCCTTTTGTTTACAAAGGGAAAATGTCGAACGTGAATTGCTCATATCTGATTTCTTTACATTTATCAAGTTGAACTGAAATTGGTTATTTAAAAAATAACAACAAAAATAATTTGTTGAGATTAGATTATCCGGGTTTTTTTGCATGGATGAACAAACAGCTGCGCTAAACT